TGATGAAAGGTTACCAGGCGAAATGCTTGGAACTGAACTCTATATGTATCCGTAAACAAAATGGAAGGAGTTAAAGAGATTCCGAATACAATGGGTCGGAAGCAATTAGAATAAGGTGAAAGACACCGAATGATGTCAGCTGCTTTAAGCATTTTGCTCTACAAGCATACAAACACCCGTTCCTTCTTCCTGTTATTCTTAGTATCATGTGAATCAAAATTAGCAGTGGGGATCAAACTCGAAAATATTAATGTCAAGTCGATTGCGAACCGGTTTTGCGCTGTTGCGGAATGCATTTTTTCACATTTGAGATGTCTGAACAAAAAATTGTTGCTGATGGAAAAAACGGTAATGAGGACGACACTTTCAAAGAAAGCCAAATAACCTTCGAGTATAAACAATTCACATTTGTATTTGTTGCAATGAGAGCAAAAAGAAATTGGAAAACGTTTCGGAAAAAGATTTCTTAATTGCCACAATACCATCGCAAATGCAAGATGTCTAACCTTCAGATGCTTCCTCAAAGAGGAGGGATGCGTGTACGACTTTCCGCATCCAGTAATCCTACACTCATACGGTTTATCATTGGTATGCACATGCATATGCTTCTTCCTATCACTGCTATTTGCAAACCTCCGATCACAACCCGGATATGTACAGCTGAACGGCTTATCACCTGAAATTCATTTGTTTCAACATTTTATCAGTTACAACTGCAACGAAACATTGAGCATTCAACTTTCAAACTGAAAACTTTGACTTGAATAGACGTAACGCTATTTTGTGAGATTTTTCGATAGACGAAGCAATCAAGCAATCATTTATAAAGAGCTAATGCAGCACGAATCATCGTGATGTCAGCTCCAGTTGATATCTGTTTTGTTCAGTGCAGCCTTTTGAATGCTTTTAAAGTCGAAACATCTTTTCATCTTAATTTCAAACATCGTGGAATCAATCCTGAGTTTTGATTCGGAGCATCCGAATTATTTTCTGTTCAGTTTGCGCGTTGACTAATCGTCAGAAAAACGCTTTGAGTGAGTACTTTGATTTATTTTCGATTCATTTCTCAAATTGTCATAAATTAAAACTGAATTCTAAAAGTGCGTTCCTTCAATTGAAACAAGATGAAATGATTTTGAAAGATTCGACGATAATTTAATTTGATTAGTCGCTTGGTTTAGCGACATCACAGTTCTTAATATGGCAATGATCATAAAGTGATTATGAGATTGATGATTGGTACATCTGTCCATTTGCAAATTTATGAATGTGAACGCATCAATCCATAATATTTCAATGGAAATGCTCATCATTAAAGCATTTTGACGCGATGAAAAGATTTGAGAATTTACAATTTATGTCTCAGCAGATGTGCGTTGATAAAGTACCGTAATCGAAGCCTTAATCGTCCATTAAACGTTTCAAAATTTTGATTCAATCTGACATTGGCTAGTTTGACTAATTTACGCATTCTGTACACTTTATCATAGTATCAGTCCACGAGAAATCACCATTACTTGACAATATACATCAATGTGCATGGGGAATTTTTCAATAAAACACAAATGCTCATTTAGGTTTGAGATTGTTGGATACTTTAAATTAGGGATATGAGATAATTATTTGACAATTAATTATATGATGTTTTTTATTGTTACAAGAAGAAGTGAATGGAGAGGATTGAGAGGGCAGGTGTTAGGTTACAACAACACAGTAATCAGCGTTCGCTTGTTGACATTGCATAACGCTAACAAAAGATACAATTATGAGCTCTTAACTAACACCTTGGTTAAGGTTAAATATCGCGCGGACAGGTAACGCATATTCATCTGTGATTTGTTCTTGTATTATGAGACAATCTGATCTGATATTTTTATCCATCATTATACTCAAAACACTGCCACAGTAGTCGATGCTTTTTTTGCTGTATCATCGTTAGATCTTTGCGTTGCTCAAAAACAAATGAATAAATTGGAAANGAGCTGAAATAAACACAATGGAACAACATTGCTTAAGCTGTCGAATATTTTTCCGAAGAAACAGAGCATTTATTGTAAAGTGATCGAATAAGAATGAGTTTGCAAGTTCATTGCATTCAAATGACCTGTCAAAATAATTGATTGATCGGTGTGAATGTTTGATGGTTTGCATATCATGATCAATTCCACGCATCCACAGTGAATATGCATAACTGGATACTGAATAAACTCACAAAATGAAGTATCATCGAAGGTCGTTATCCCGTTAGGTGATTTAGTTAATCTCATTTCTTCATTCATTCAGATGAGCACCGCTCATAAAATCTTTTGTTATGCAAAAACTCATTACTCGCATAGTAATGTTTACCAGTCGAATGCACTCGTATCAAAACATTCCCTAATAAATCAAACAATTTGAATGGAATGATTATTCACTATAATTTACAGTACTCCTATCGTTCGGTCACATGCAATATTCTGTCAATGTTACTCAGCAATAACCATTTCTAACTATGAAGTCAAAACTCGTTTCGCGCAATCTTCGATGCAAGGTGTTTATTATAAGTGAATTACTGAAGGTATTCGACGAAAAAAAAATCGTTACGAACGTAATGTGTGTATAGAATTGGTGATCGCTTTTTGATGATCAGCGTGATGTTCGTCGCAAAAAATGAAAATTTCCAAAGAAATGGTTGAAGTCACCCTCGATGTAACTGAACTGTATGATACATGAATCACCCTATCAGTTGCTCACGTAGAACTCCAGTGATGACTCTGTGTGTATATTACAGACGAAAGATGCCTTATATATCTAGTCAAGTGTTCATATTGGATTCTTATGATGCCGAGAAATACAGCAGTGAATAATACATAACGCTGTTAAATTTCAAATATTTCAAAAATGTGGCGAAGATGATTTTTTGCAAATGGATAATATTTTTTGTAAAAGACAAACTAACAATTGAGTTGCCTTACAGAGCTTATGAGAATAACAATTTCGGAAAAGTGACACTCAATGATGTCAGTAAATAATTATTGACGTATAAGATGATACTTTAAAAGATCAACAGATGGAGAGGCACCATGCTGAAGTGGATTATAAACGTGTGCAGAATACTTGGATGAGAGACTCGAATTGAGAGTATCAATTCGATGGATACTTATCTTGTATAATGGCTGTTCGAATCAACATCACTTTAGCGTGAAGATATCATTGTCAATAATCATTTGAGAGTGTTGCTCGTGTGGAATTGCTGACCAATTTATTGCTCTCGCAAGTAAATTTTCAGTCGAAAGATATTCACAGAAAGCATCGCTAACAAAGATGATAGCGCTCAGCGGATAACGTTTCAATTGACCATTTTAAGAAGGAATCAACAGAAACCTGTATGTGTGCGTTGGTGAATCTTGAGATTTTCGCTTCTGGCGAATACTTTATCGCACATACTGCATGGAAACGGTCGTTCGCCGGTATGAACTCGGATATGATTAATTAATTTATATTTCGCCTGAAAATGGTTCGAGTAGAGATTCGATCGCTCAAAGTTACATTCAAGCAGCACTGAATAATTGTTAAGTAGTTGCTAGAATGATTGATGAGGACAAGACAACATCGAAGTGAAGCGTTATTCAGTGATACCATAAAACCCAGGAAAGCTTCTTTTGTGTTGGAGGATGAAAAAAATTATTAACTAACTTTAAATATCTTTCCCTTTCGAACACAATCTTTCCACTGACAAATGTGAAGTGTGCTATCTGATAGACCAACGTGCTCATGTTGTAAGTGTGAAACGATGTGTTCAATCGAGTAAAAAACACGATTGCATATTTTGTTCCGCTGAAATTTGCTTTCATTAGGAATAATCTAATTCTGCTGTTGTGACCGCAACGGTTCTCATTATGTACAAATATCTCTTCCGTTCTGCAAAATTCCACGATGTTCTAATGAAACAAACTAGCATCATCAAATATTTCCTCAAAACTATTCATCAAGTCTCGTAAAATTACGATAGCTGAACGCTAAAACTGGTTCAAATTATGTCTCATTAACAGACGCATGTTTTATAACATCAATGCATTTGTATGCATACTTCAACCCATTCGCACTGAATTGGATTCTGCATTCGTGGAGCTGTTGAGGTCATTGCTTGAACTGTGAACGGGAAATGTGGATATGTTGGTCGGACGAATGGATTTGGTGGACAGCCATGACCGAAGAATGCTTCTGGATCGGGTTTAAAGAAATTCCGTTGATATTCTCCGGTTGTTTGAGGGATCGGACCAAATAAACGTGTATTCTGCATGAATGGCGGCTCCTGTGGAAAGTAGACATCAGGCGGACGCGGCGGAGCATTCGGATAATTATTTTCTGAAATGAGATTTCATTTAGAAACGAGAAGAGTACATTTATCATATATTGTTTGAGCAGCCTTGCGAGATCATAATGTCCTAGTGGAAAGTCAAATGAGGGCCTTGAATATGGTCGAATGCACAATTGCGAACATTCATATCCACTTAGTTATCGAATACTCTCGCATCGTGTATTGTGAACAGTAGGTTAATTCAGCACGGATAATTGAAGTACTTGAGAATATGAGATGATGTCGAATTATGGTGAATTATTAGCTCTA